ATGACGTGAAGCGGCGCCTTGATCAGCTCCAGCGCCAGATTGACAATGGCGGCGACGCAAATACAGCACGGGCAGATGATCGTGAGAAGGATCCTGCCACGAAACAAAGAAGCAAAATCAAGCGCGAGCCAAAATCCCTAAAATTCGCCACAGATCTGGGCGCTTACCCGACGATCCACACCACGACCCCCACGAGAGAGATGAGAAACGAGAGGATTGCGAAGGGCAGTCCCAGCAGGAAGCCAATCGGGTGGCAATTGTCGCAGCACATCGCGCAGATCAATCGATCGAAACCAAGCAAGAAGGAAGAAAGAAGAAAAGGAAGCGCGAATTTTCCAAAAGCAGCAGCTAGGGCAGGGCTCCTTTCTCTTTGCCGCTTTTATTTTGCTTCTTCCAGGAAATGGATCGAAAAACCACGTCGCCGTCGTTTTTGAAGGAGCTTGACAGCGTCAGCCATAGGCATGCGTACGAAACCGCCATGGCCCAAAAGATGACAGGATTCCGTACCGGTGTGAGGTCAATGCAGTGGTCACCCCCTCCCCCGGATGGGAATGGGCCAGTCCGTGCGCTTCGTACACATTCGAGTTCTGGCCAGGGTGGTCTAAATCTTGGAGTATATGGCGCCAATCCTCCTGGCGCTAGGGTTCGTCCGGGGAGCTCGCTCCAGGCGCTCTAGGGCTGCATTTTGGGGAATCTCTATGTGATTCAGGTGTATTTCGAGTGATTGCCGCATCGGCATTTGATTTTGGGAGGATCTTTCAAGCTCCCGATCGATCGGGGCTTCTATGTCTCAAGAGTGGATCAGGAATCCTCCGACGCTAGCCTACACTATTCCATCTGGCGAGCTCAGCCGCCAGAGCATCGGTTTCCTTAGCCCGATCCGGTTCTCCTGCTTTAGAGCGAATTGCCAAAGGCAGCCAACGCAAATGGAGTGTGATGCCTCACAAGCAACGAAGAAGAATCCATTCAGTGGTTTCCTGGAGAGCTCGAAGTCAGTGTGACTTATTTTTCTGTTTCATTGAATGTGAATCTTATGCTGGAAATTTTCAGGAAAGTCTTTGAGGCCGATGATCTTGGGCGAGAGATTGCAGCTGTCGCTCTTCCGGCATTGCTTGGACTTGCCGCGGATCCACTCGCTTCTTTGGTGGACACGGCATTCATCGGTCAAATAGGTAGCCATTCTTCTTTCTTCTTTCCTTCTAGTTTAATAACTCTCGCTGTTTTGTCAGGCTCGGTGGAGTTAGCTGCTGTAGGTGTCTCGATTTCGGTTTTCAACTTGATATCAAAGATCTTTAATATTCCTCTTCTCAACATCACGACATCTTACGTCGCAGAGGACAACGTTGCTGGATGCGGCTTTGAGGAAGGCATCCCGCTGACGGAAGCCGCTGGTAAACTTGGTCAAGCATGCATTGCATAACTAACACGCGGCAATTCAGAAGAAGGGCACTTCATTGAGAAGCCTGGAAAGTCTGAGAAGCGCGTCTACCCGTCTGTTTCATCAGCGCTGTTTCTGGGATCGTCACTCGGAATCATAGAGGCTCTTGTGCTGTTGCTTGGAGCCTGGCCAATTCTCAGAATAATGGGGATTTTGGACGTAAGTGTTGGTTGGTGTTGAAAGATCAATGGTCTAATTCTCTTGGAACAGGATTCTCCAATGCGTCTTCCTGCGCAGCAGTATCTATCAATTCGGGCTCTGGGAGCTCCTGCAGTTGTTGTTTCTCTAGCTACGCAAGGAGTGTTTCGTGGCTTTAAAGACACAAAAACTCCTCTGTATGCTACAGGTAAATTAATTTTGTTCTTTCTTTCTTTCGTTCTCTGACCTGTGTTTTGATGATAGTCACGGGGAACATAGTGAATGTGGTGCTGGATCCAATTTTGATGTTTTCTTTTGGATATGGAGTTACCGGGGCAGCTGTGGCAACAGTCGTGTCACAGTGAGTTGCAGGCAACTGATTGCTATGTTTTTTTACGTTCTTTTAGTTTGGCAGATATGTAATTGCGTTCATTTTATTGGTGAAACTAAACGAAGTTGCTGTCCTGATCCCGCCTGATATATCAAGACTGGGCCTAAGACGTTTTTTTTCGTCTGGTAAGGCACATACGTTTGTGAAGATTTCTGGAACTGAAAGTTTTTTCATAGGTGGTCTGTTGTTCACGCGAACCATTGCAATACTGCTTACCATGACACTGGCAACTTCAATGGCTGCTCAGGAGGGTGTAGCTCCTATGGCAGCACATCAAATTTGCATGCAAATCTGGTTGGCTGCATCTCTTCTTTCTGATTCCCTGGCGCTCGCCGGACAGGTGAACATACCACGGGGATGTTCTATCGTCGTGTTCTAAAGTCCTTTTTTTCTAAGGCTGTTATTGCCGATTTCGTGGCACGGAACAATGGGCAAAAGGTTAAAGAGGCAACATTTAGAGTCCTGCAGGTACTCCTTTCTTGCAGGTTTCTCCTTTTAACTAGCTTCGATCTGACAGCTGGGCATCGTGTTTGGTTTAATCATGGGTGTAATCCTTGGACTTGGTGGCCAACGCTTTTCAAAACTTTTCACCAGTGATGATTTGGTGATACAAGCATTGATCACTATCATTCCGGTAAGTGTATACATTTTCTTCTTAGTGATACAGTCCTTAGATTGCCATGCTTGCTTTGTAGTTTGCTGTTTTGACTCAGCCTATCAACTCTATGGCGTTCGTGTTTGATGGCATTTTTTACGGTGCAACTGACTTCGCCTTTGCAGCCTACTCAATGGTGCGAAACTCGAATGTTTTTTTATGCAAGGACGGTTAAGTGTTTTTATTTTGCAGATAGTGATTGGAATCATTTCCTCAGCGGTTCTTTTCGCTGCGCCATCCTTCCTTGGTTTACCTGGTGTATGGCTTGGCTTGACTGTACTCATGAGCCTTCGAATGGCTTCCGGCATTTTGAGGTAACGATCTATAAGCCTTTGGATACCATAAGCTAAACCGCCGTTTCAATGCAGGCTGGGGACTGCCACGGGTCCTTGGCAGTTTTTGGCAAACGAGAGCTTGGAGATTGACAATTCTTAGTTGCTATCGCGCTGTAGACTTTACTATATCAAGCACAACAAGTCAACAACAATAACTCACGAAAGGAACAAGGTGCGTACAGTTCTCATGCGATTCATAGTTTCTCCTGCAGGGAGAGAGGGAACGAAAAGAAAAAAAATTTAGATCATAGACCAGTTTAATGCACAGCAATAAGCAAAGCAGTATCCATTGACGTCGACTCTAAGATTGACGATGACGGTGCTTTGCTTTTTCATGGGCTGGCACTGTTGTAGAGCGTGTGAGGCATGTCTTTCTTTCGCCTTTCCAGCTTTCGTTTGGCTCGACTAAACCAGTTCTCTCTCTTTTTTTTGTTTCTACAGGTTTTGGAACATGTAACTTGGATCAATCAAAAGCAGTATCATTTAGACAAGGGTCCAGTCACATACATATGCTTTTTCTAACTTCTACCACTCCTTTTCTTCTTCCTGTTTGCTTGCAGGGATGAGCTGTGGCCAGCACTTTGCAATCCACTTGGTGGCAGCATAAAAAACAAAGGTTCTTACTTTGTTTCATATTGTTTTAAACAAGATCTCTTCGTTCCCAGGTTTCTAAGTGACTGATCAATGGGCCATGAAGCTTTGACTGCCTTGGTGACACAAGCACTGCGCTCATGATTCACAGGACGTATGATGGCTTGCGTTCGATTGCAAGGCTCTGCCAAAGAAATCTTCGGGGAGATATCATCTTTGTCTAGCTCCAAGCCCAATAGTAACTCGGACGAACAAAGTTGTTTCCAATTTGGAAGACGCAAAGAGGTGAGCTAATAATCTCTGGCACCTTCCACTTTACATCTTGTCCACACTAAACTATTCCCTCCAGGAGTTTGAAGGCCCCACAAACACAAGCACCCAATTCTTCGTGCATGGAGCACGAGACCACGTCGAGAAACATGCCCGAGAGGTCCACTTTCTCTCTCTCTCTCTCTCACACACTCTTTTTTTCTTTCATCGTCTTGCTTTGCTTGAATTGTGATCCAAGGCTAGCACCGATAAAAACTTTAAAGGCTCTCTTGATTTCTTGTCTCGTCTCGTCCTGGAAGAAACACTCCTTTTTTTTTCCTGCGACTGGATGGATAGATAGATTTGTTATTGGTTTGGGTGCGTGTGGGATGAGCTATTCTTTTATGCTATAATCTACGCGAAATCGCTTATACAATAGCCATAGCTATTTGGGATCGATCATGCCAAATGTCATCCGCGGAGAATTTTGGAGGGTGTTGGCAAAGCTTAAAATCTCTTTTGCAGAGATGCTGCTGTTGCTCCTGCTGCTCAAAAAGAAATCGCTTTGATTTTGTTTGGTGCTGGCTTTGAAATTGCTTTGTCAGATTTTTCCTCTCCTTTCTCTTGAAGAGATTGGTGGCCTGTTTGCTGCTGGAGCAGCAACAGGTGCTTTGCCACAATTAAATCCACATTTCTCCTCCCTGGATCTCCTGTTGTTTACTTGCGGTCCATTTATTATTTCCACAACAAAGCACCAAAAGCTCGTTCCAGCGCTTCGTGTTTTTGGATCCATTCGATCGATCGATCGATCGATCCAGAAGTCGTTTCGTCGCCTTTCCCAAATTTCATATTTGCACGAAAGTCACTCACTCCATGTGATCTAGAATCTCCGCGTGGATTAATTAGCACAAATCCCTCTTTTCTAATCGCGCGGTTTGACGACAATGCATGCACATGCACGATGTCAAAAGAAAAAACTTGGACAGTGTCACGAAATTGGAACGTGACACGTAACATGGCCGCCATGACCTAAAGGGATATACCCTGCCCTGGGGACGGCATATGCCTGTGTCGGGCGCCGGCAGGCCGGACATTATGATGGCGTCCAGGTGGCGAATCGATGAGCTGGCGTGGCATTTTATAACGTTCGCGGGCGCCGTTAAAACCCCCACAAGCCGGCCGTACAGCGCGGGCCGCGGTCGTACCCCTCATCCGTGAGGCGTGAACGCCGTTACTCGTGACGGCCGCTCGTCACTTGCCGGCTTACACATTGCGAAGAAAATGCCATTCTTTTGAGCAGAAGAAGAGAGGCGAGAAAAAAAACTCTCCTTGCCCAGAAGAAGGAAATGGTGGCGATGGCGATGGCGATGGAGTAGAGTGTAGATAGAGCCATTTGATTTCTATCATAGAGAAATAGATTAGAAGCTCTTCTTCCTCTTCGTCTCACGGATCGTGGATAGTGAGTGTCTCGAAAGTTGCGAGCTCGCGATCCATTCGGGCTCTTCGCCCAATCCATCCGCAATGCAGCAGCGGCGATCGTTTGATCCCACGAGTCTCACTCCCTCTTCCTCTATTTCTCCTCAGAGAGCGATCTAAGCATCCCACTCTCGCTCGCTCGCCATTGAGAGAGAGAGAGAGAGCTCGCAAACAAACACCCACGAACTGGGCAGAGGATGCGCGGGGAGAGCTTGAAGATCAAAATGTGGAGCTCCAGCGGCAGCGCCGCCACTGCCGCCGCCACTAAATCCACCGCCGCCAAGGGCCGCCAGATCCACAAGACGCTCAACAACATCAAGATGACGGTTCTCTGTGGATTCGTCACCATCCTGGTGCTGCGCGGGACGATCGGCGCGGGCAGCTTTGGCACGCCGGCGCAAGATCTTCACGACATCCGCGATACTGTCCACCGGCGGAAGGACGCCGGGCGCGTTTTGGCGGAGGCTAAGAGCTCGAGCAGCGCCATAGCCGAGGAGGAGGCCGAGGTGGAGGCAGAGGTGGTGGACTCGGGCATGCCGTATAGCCTGGGGCCGAAGATCTCCGACTGGGACGAACAGCGCGGCGAGTGGCTGCGCAAGAATCCACACATGCCCGCGGTGGTGAATGGCAAGCCCAGGATTTTGCTCGTCACTGGATCGCAGCCCAAGCCCTGTGACAATCCAGTTGGGGATCACTACCTCCTCAAGGCCATCAAAAACAAGGTGAGTCTCTCAGTCCCCTAGGCCTAGATCTCTTCTCTGGAGAGATTTTGCTGTCTCTTCTTCCTCCATCTCCTGCTTGGATTGCTGGTTTTGCTTCATCCAGTGCTCCTATTCCTTGCTTGGAGTTTTGGGTCTCTAGATTCCGTCAGGATTGACTTCTCTCAGATTTCTCGCATTCCTTTGTTTTGGGCATTGAAAATTTACATCTGTCGACAATGCTGGTCAAGAATTTCACCACATTGCCCTCCAAGAACCCTAATTTCTCTCCTCCCCCCTGTTCTTGCAAAATCCCTCTCAAACCGGTCAAGTCACATTCTCTAAAGTCTTCCATCTCGCCAGTCCTGCCAGTCGAAGCTCCAAATTCCAGTCTTTTCCGGTCGAAATCACCCACATGGAAGAATTCTTCCTCATCGGTTCCCCCCCAAATTCGTTTTTCGAAGAGCCCTAATTTTTCTATCTTCTTCCCCAGGTGGACTATTGCCGGCTCCACGGCATCGAGATCTTCTACAACATGGCGCATCTCGATCACGAGATGGCCGGCTACTGGGCCAAGCTCCCGCTCCTCCGCAAGCTCCTCCTCGCGCACCCGGAGGTGGAGTGGATCTGGTGGATGGACAGCGACGCGATGTTCACGGACATGGTCTTCGAGCTCCCCATGGAGAAGTACGCGAACTACAACTTCGTCCTCCACGGCTGGGACGAGCTCGTCTACAACAAGAAGAATTGGATCGGCCTCAACACTGGCAGCTTCCTCATCCGGAATTGCCAGTGGACGCTCGACATCCTCGACGATTGGGCGCCAATGGGGCCGAAGGGGAAGATCCGCGACGAGGCCGGGAAGATCCTCACGGCATCGCTCGCCGGGAGGCCGGCATTCGAGGCCGACGATCAATCCGCGCTCGTCTACCTCCTCATGACCAAGCGCGATCGCTGGGGCGATCGCGTCTTCCTCGAGAGCTCCTACTACCTCCACGGCTACTGGGCGATTCTGGTGGACAAGTACGAGGAGATGATCGAGAAGAACCACCCGGGGCTGGGCGACGATCGGTGGCCATTCGTGACGCATTTCGTGGGATGCAAGCCCTGCGGCCGCTATGGCGATTACCCGGTGGAGCGATGCCTCAAGCAGATGGAGCGGGCATTCAACTTCGCGGACAACCAGATCCTGGAGATCTATGGCTTCCGGCACCGCGCGCTAGGCAGCGCCAAGGTGAAGAGGACGCGCAACGAGACGGATCGGCCGCTGGATAGGCCGCTGGGGATCAGCAATATCGTCGTTGGCGGGAATTAGGGTTCTTGGGGTGTAGAAATTTAGGGTTCTTGAGAGCTCTGTTTTGTGGCTTTTCTTTTCTTTCTTTTTTGTCTTTCTCTTGTTTGTGTATAGATCCCGCGCTTGCGCTTTCTCCAAGAACAAGCAAGTAAATCCTAGAGATTTCACTAGATCATTGTGAGTAAATTCAAGAGACTAGAACTTTTGTGAAAAGCAAGCAAATTTCGAAAGGAAATGGAAACCAGCTAAAAAGCATTGCTTTGAGAGAAGAGAATAAGATGCTTTTCTGAAGCTTTAAAGAACAGGAGGAGGATCTGTCTTTGCTCCTTGAGGGAGCAAACGAAAAAAAATTGGAAAGAATAATCGAAAAGGCGATTTGTATGCAGTAGATTTTCTTAGTTTCATGTTGTCTTCACTTTGATCTGCTGCTTTTTTCTAAATCTCTTCGAATGCGCTCGCTTCATTCCCACGAAGTACAAGAGAGCTCCACACAGTGACAGGCTCTGCGAGAAAAAACACAAAATGGCGAACAATTTCTAGCGAATTTCACGAAACTTACCTTGAGAAATTGCAAGAACTCGTTCGCATACTCTGGTGTTCCTACGTCAAAGTTGTAGAAATCGTGCCATATCGGTGTCTCGATGAACAAATCTAGGAGCTAACCAAAAAAATCCGAGACAATGAGATGACAAACTCGAGCGAAAGAATCCAAAGGAAACTTACGAGTAAGTAGGCCCCGAAAACGCTACCGAAAGTGAAGAGAATCCCTCCCAGGCCTTGCAGTAGGATGGACGCGAAAACCACATACTTCAGCTGCAAAGATGGAAGAAAAAAGTGGTTTTTGTGAGAGAAGGAAATTCTTACGTTAAAGCTGAGGAGGTTCCATCCAAGTCGAGACTCGAGATGATGGCTCAAAGTGAAGAATTTCGGCTGTAGGAGCCGCGCTGCTCCTCCGCCATCGCCTCCAAAATCGTTCACCCTGTTCCAAGGAAGAATTATAGATCAAATTCTACATCGAGAGAGAGAGAGAGAGAGAGAGAGAGAGATCTTACTTTTGCCAGGCCGATAGGATGAAAATCGAGGAGAAGAGAACGCGGCCGGAGAAGGAGAGGAAGCCCATGGATCGATCGGGAAGCGCGGAATTTGGAGCCACATAAACCCTAAATCTTGCGCTGCCGTTGCCGCCGCTCGATCTCCCTCCCGCGCATTGGCAGTGGCCACTCCCTAGAATCGCGCGGAAGAACTAGCGCGCTGCCCGTGCGATCGATCAAGATCCAAACACCTCGTAGTCAAGAAATTTTCTCACCATCGGACGATCTAGATCGTACCACTTGTCAGAAATGCAGAGTTCTATCGGATGGCCAGGATCTTCCAAAGAACTCATTGTTGCCTGCACGAAAGCCTTTGGGATTTGCGCGCACTCATCAAGGAGCACAACTGGCATTGGAAAGAAAATGATTTCTAGGGTTCTTCCGGATCGCCGAGGGCGATGGCGTCTTTCACGAGCCTAGGTAGGGTTTAGGTGGTGGAATTTGAAGGAAATCCGGGCGCTAAAGCTTGCCTGGAGCTGGGAGGATGTCATCGCGCCCAGGAATTGGCCGGGCCAGAAGCGCGGAGAGCTCCCCACGGACATCCAGAGCGGGGAGGAAGAAATCGCCCAATGTAGAGGCGTCGGCGCTGGCTCTCTCGCCAATTGCGACGAGGACCGGGTGTGGCGGCTCTCAATCCGCGTTGCAGTCAGCGTGGATCCAGAGGATTATCCCTCTCTCACGGACTTTCGTGTCGGAAGATCATCCAGAGCTCTACGTAAAGAAAAGGATCGATAATATGGAGTGTACCGACGAAGAAGAGGATTGCCAGCCGGAGGTCTCGGGATTTAAGTTCGATGCTCCATCGAGCTGGTTGACGATGAGAAACTCCGAGAGAGAAGAAACAGAGGTGTTTCCAGGGGCAAGGATCTCTGGATCGCGACAGCATTCTACAGGATTACGGGGCAAGAACTCGGTTTCGTCCGACTCGAAAGTGGTTCCTGTTGCGGAAGACGAGGTGATAAGTTCCAAGTTTACGAGCGCAAAGGTTGTAGAAGAACAGGGATTGGAACAGCAGCACAACGAGCTTCTCCGGTCGGCATGGTTTGCAAGGATAACTCGGAAGGATTTCTCGATAGATGGTGATAGTAATCAGCAGCAGCAGCAACAGCAGCAGGGACTACGATCCTTTCCTCCACTTAAATCCGGGGAGCAGTGGCCGGGAACCTTGAAGCCGTCTGGTTTGCCACCGCTGAGGATACCATCGACGAGAAGTACTGAAAGGTCGGAACAATCGTTGCCTTTGCTCACTCCAGTCGCTGTGCCGCCAAAGCCTCGAGACGATAGCGAAGAAGAAGACAGCAATGAGAAGGAAGCGCCATCGCTGATACGAACTATTTCCTTGTTCGACTCGGTGAGTGCGTCGGGATCGTCCTTCACTTGCAGCTTGCCTTCAAACTTCGCGAACGAGAGGAGCAACTCCGATCGCACCAAGAGCTTGCAGGACCGATTCGGTTTCATCAATGGGACCGTCAGGCCTTCGAGAAAGAACTCCAATGCATCGAGGTCGTCTGATACCAATAGCCTTTTCGAGGATGAAGGTGGCGAGGAGGTCCAGTCTCTTTCGCGCCGTGACGAACTCAACACTGCGAAAACTGGAGGTGAGTTTTCATGATCTGCTACTTATAGACCATGGTTTTCATATTTACTTGTCTCTTGCGCAGGCAAAGCTCTCTCGCGGACTTCTATAGAATCAAATGTAAGAGAAACCTTTTTTTCTCTGATATTCCAGATTGTCTCATATCCGGCATGCTGTTTCACATTCCAGGAAAGATCAAAAGTACCACTCGATCAACCCCAACCCCACCATGACGAAGATCTTCCAAAATATAACCTGAGAAGCCCGCCACAAAGAGAGAGGCCTCCGGCATCGCTTCACAACTCAAAGTCCGTAAGAGGGGGACAAATGGCTCTTTCTTTTCAGCCAGGCTCGCAGCAATGGCTTCATAGGTGGTGTTCTCCTAGTCCTTACAAAGATGGGGCTCGAGCAAAGTAGAAAAGAGAGAAATTAATGTAGATTAGAAACACAGATTTGTGAATGCTAATCAAAAGTTGGTACACAGAAAGCATGAAATATCAAGCTTTCAGCTTCTAATGTAGTAATGTGTTCTTTCCAAATTTCATGTGAATGCGAAAATCTCTTGTTCCAGTGAGCTCTTAAAAATAAAATAGAAAGTTTCATGCAAATCGCCAAGCAACGTTCGATTTTTAATGAGGAAATCTTAGCAAGCAGCTTTCTCTTGGTAAATATCAACATTGTGTTTAGAGAAATTCTGTGTGTTGCTTATTCAAATCAGGAAGGATTAAAAGGCAAAGGAAGAGAATCAGCCAAACACGCAGTTGTGGTGGGCATCCGGGACCGCATTCAGAGCTTGCTGCAAGATGTCCTCGGCAGCGTCGACGATTTTGCTGATGGCCCCGACCGCCGCCTGATCGTCATCGGACAATCCCCTAATCCCATTTTCATGTAGTAGATGGACGCCGCGAAGTAGATTTGCGCATTGTCCACCGCCGGGGTGCCCGATGCGTGCCCCCGCTGGCAGTATCCGCGTACGCGGCCGAGGCAGCGCTCATGCACTTGCGGAGAATGGCGTCGGCGGGCGTGGTGTTGCCGGAGGATAAAACGCCTTTGATCTGTTTCTCGAGGCTCTGCATGGCCAACGTGTCCACGTCGTGGCTGAGTGCGGGCGCAGCCAGGAGGATGGCGCAGCAGATGAGTGCAAGGGCAGACATATTTTATCTTCTGCGTGCGGAATTCAAGATTCAAGTTGAAGATGAGATGAAAATATGCCTGGAGTATTATTTTGGCCTGGGGGTATTTATGTGTATCCTGGAGGTGATTCTTTTAGAAATTTGTGGGGGAATCTGGGTGTGCATGTTGCATATTTCTGAGGGGTTTATTAATCTTGCTTGTGTGCATCCCTGTTTTGGTTTTAGTGGTATTTTGAGCGAGGAAGAAGAAATAGTTTTAAGGTAGTGTTTGAAGCCAAAATACCATAAAAAAATCAAATTATAAAGTATAAATGTTTAATTGTTTGTGGCATATTCATTTTCTTAGACTATAGTATTCTACAAAATCGCATTTGGACAATAGTTATACCACTGGAGATAAATAGTAAATACATATTTGATAGAGTATTGTGTTGCGGCTAGGAGGAGGAGAGGGGATTGCCAATCTCGTGTCATGGCAATTGGCGGCATTTGCGTAGAGGCGCCTCTAGCTAGGGTTAGGGTTTATGGAGGGGAGCGCGCTGCCGCTGCTGCTCGGCTCGGGCGCTCGGCGTTCGCCGGGGCGCGGATTGCGCCCGGGAGGAGGCAGTTGCATTGCATTCGGGCGGCCAGGGGAATTGGAATCACGGCGGAGCTGAAGAAGGCCGTGGCTGTGCTCAAGGGCTCCGTGGATGGAGTCGTGCATTTGGAACAGGATGGAGACGGTAACTTTTCTTCTTTCTTTTAGGCTTTTGCAAGTAGAGATTGGCGAGCAATTTGGAAGAAATGTAGCTTACAGCCATGATCGATTTTTGTGTTTCTTCGTTCTTCTGTACGTTGATTCTTGTTTTCTTTGCTCCATGCAGGCCCAACGACTGTGAAGGTGAAAATTTCTGGGCTAACTCCTGGCAAGCATGGGTTTCACTTGGTATGCATGGAAAAAAAGTTCTTGGCTTTTTTATAACAAAACTTACAGCATGAATTCGGGGACACGACTAATGGCTGCCTATCTACGGGTGAGTCCCTCAGTTTTTTTGTTTTTTTTTTTGCTTTTCTTGATCCTTGTTAGCTTACAATCAATCCCATTCTGGTGGTTTTAAATGCAGGCGCGCATTTCAATCCCGAGAACAAGACGCACGGTGGACCGAATGACTCGGTCAGGCATGCTGGAGATCTCGGAAACGTTGTAGCTGATGACAAAGGTTCGACGTCTTGTATTCTCTCTTTTCTTCTGCAAACTGCAAACGCTTTTGAGTACAGGCAATGTGGACGAAGTTATCGTCGATTCCCAGGTACGAGAACTAAAGTTTCTTCTAACCTTTGGACTCTTTTCCTTGTTGCTGCAGATCCCGCTGTCGGGTGTAAACTCGGTCATTGGAAGAGCTCTAGTGATTCACGAGCTGGAGGATGACCTCGGGAAAGGTGCGAATCCTCCTGAATCTTCATGTTAAGTGCCATACTCTGACGTAACTCGGTGTCGTTTTGTTGGACGCTTGCTCCAGGTGGACACGAACTCAGTCCGACAACTGGTAACGCAGGAGGTCGACTCGCTTGCGGTAACCATTTACTTCGCATCAATCAGAGCTAATCGCGTTTGAAACGCAGGTGTTGTGGGTCTAACTCCCTGAAAGAGAGCGAAAGAGAGAGGGGGAGAATGAGAGATCACCAGTCTCTCGTGGCTTGTGCCTCGTTCTCCCTCCTCGAGAGTGATATATCCTCTCCCTCTGCTGGCCGCGCTTCTGGCAATTCGAATAAAGTGGTAACACCTTGAGAGAGAGCTGGTTTATTGTTTTTCTCTTCTTCTCTCTTCTTTGCTTTGCTTTCCATTGTTCCAGAGTTTTGGCTCGGCTCAGGCTGGGCTTCGCTTGACACATTTGCGTTGAGGAGTCACACGGTAACCAGTAAATGTCTTTTGGCAGTTTCGACTGTGTCTCTTCAGGGCCAGCTGCTGCTACTGCTGATTGCTGTTAGCATCGCTGCGCTCGCGTATATGTGCTGCTACTGACGTCCGTTTTTGTGTGTGTACGCATATTGCGAAGTCACTCTCTTATCTTCTCCTAGTCGGGGCGTTATGTGTGAATGGCGAGCGCTAGAGGTATGTGGTCCGCCTTTACACCACAGGAAATAAATCGCATTGCGCTCTCTCTCGCTGCTCGTTTCCAGAAAAAATGAAAAAGCGGAAAAAATCTCGTAAGAACTGCGACGCGCGCAGAAGTTAGTGTGGGTGGCTTGTCGACGTCGCCATGAAACACAAAGAAAAGCGCAAAAAAAAAAGCTGCGAGGTTAAAAAAAAAAAAATGGGCCCCGTATAGCTTTGTCACTTACAAGAGCGATAAACACACGGAGACACGCGCGGCTAAGATAAGATACCAGTGGCCTGGAGGATGCCATATGCTCGTCCGTGTGATCTGCCGTACACGCGTACGGGCGATCAAAATATTCAGTGGTTGGGTGTTCGATTCCCTTATCTATAGCGTCGTCGGGCGTCCAGGGATCGAATCTCGCGGGCTTCGATGCTTAAAAGTCGCCGTCTTTGACCGAGTTCTTGGTTTTTATTTTTTTCTTGGGCATGGGTCGCAGTGAAGAACTCATAGACTGATGACAATGGAATAATTAAAACCCTGGCTTGATGCCTCTTCACTCACTGTGTCTCCTCTCTTGTTGTTGGTATTCACACAAAATTTAGCATTGTGTCCCACTCTAAAGCTCAGAAACTAAGAAAGCTTTCCTTCGTCTTCCTCGTCTTGTTTGTTCTTCATGCATCTCTGGAACAAAGCTGGACAGCCGCTCGAGCGCATAGATCTCTTTTTTTTTCAAGCACTGCATTGTCGACGCTGGATCTGCCACTCTCTTTTTCTTTCATTCCTTTGCTCTTTGATGATAGAAGTAGCCACGGTCACTGCAAACTCTGCCTCGACAAAACAGGCTTTAAACTTGCGAAAGTGATAAGCTACCTCTTCCTGGACGGAGAAAGAATAAGGAAGAACAAAAAGAAAGAAAAAAATCTCCCTGTGATGACCTTTGGCTCGCTGTGGTGGCTGGCTGCGTTTCAGCTGTGTGTGATGTTCTTGGTCCCCTCCCGGGTTTTAATTCCTCCTTCCTCTTTCTCGTCGCCTAGCTCGTCAATCAAAGTTTGCTGGATCGTCAGGCTAGAACCAGTCCGCAGGAGAGAGCCATGAGCAAAACCGCGCCTTCCTCCTCGTCCTTCGGCACCGATCTGTTGCTGCTGCTGATAAGCAGCTGTTGCTGCTGTTCTTGAGGAAGCAAGCGCACCATGCTTCCAATCTGCCGCTTCTCCCTCGCGAAAGCCATCCGGCTCTTCTTGTAAGGATGCCGGAGGTGTTGCTGATCGCTCGTGATCCGGGCCGAGCTAGACTGATCCAGCTTCCGCTTCCCAGCCGGGCTCGCGGCCGGAGCTTCCTGATTGTTGCTGTTCCTCCTCGCTTTCCTCAGCCGGATGCCGCAGGCGTTGCAAAGAGACTGGAAAAGAAAAACGACAGAAGCGAGTGAGTTGATCGGGAAAACCAAGAACTTTCGTGTAAGACTTACCTTTGGACCAAGTGGACCATTCCTCCACAGCGGCGTTTTCATTGTTCCACAGTGCTTACACGTCCTCGTGGAGACATTATTGTTGCCGTGCGCGCCAACGGAGCCCATCCCATCGCCCCGGCTCGATCTCCCGCTGGGCGAAACGGGGTTGTCCACCGCGCCGGAAGTGGCAGCGGCGGCCAGCCTTGTCCTCGGCGAGCCGAGGAGGAGCTGATCGATCTCGGATGACCCCTTTGGATGTCGCTTCATGTAAGACTGCCGAAAGGACGACGATTTCTCGGAATGGCTCCTTGCATCGTCGTGATCATCACTCGCCTGGCACACCCAAGAAAAAAAGAAAGCGTCAATACCAAAACCAGAAAAAAAAAAAAGGAAAAAAGAGAAAGAACTAACAGGAGGAAAATGAAAAACCACGCAAGAGGACAAGGATCAAGTGAAGAACTCAAGACGCTATCAGCATTCTTCTCTCTCTCTCTCTCCTTTTTTTTTTTTGGTTTTTTTTTTTTCCCTTTTTCACTTTACCTGTGATGTGCTACTCGTGGTCGAATCCGACTCCGCGGCGGAGGAGTTGGAGATGGTGTCCGGATCCTGTCTCTTCTCCTGATCCATCCCCTTGCATTTGCTCGTCAAGCAATCCACCGCCGTTTGCTCGCTCGAGCGCTCCTGCTCGTGATCGTGATGATCCTGATCGCGATCGTCGAAGCTGATCATGTTTTGCCTCACCACCAGCACCTTACGATCGTCGCCGCCGCCCTCGATCTCCTCCTCCTCCTCCTCCTCCGCCACTCCCTGATCCACCGGATCCTCTCGAGCCTCGCCGGCTGCCACTACCCCAGGGACAAGCCCATCGAACTTCGTATCGCGATCGCCCTCCTCCTCTGGATGCTGGATCACAAGGCTCTTGGGCGTCGTCTCCAGCTCCTCTAGCTCCACCTCCCTATCCACCACCGCGGAGGAGAAGGGACTGCTGGCGGCATCAGAGGATCCGGCCTTGGCAGCTCCAGTGGCCGACGCTGGGCTCCTCTTCCACTCCCCAGACGAGGTCGGGGAGGCCGAGATCGGCGAGTCGTGATTAACGGCAACCTTGATCGAGGAGCTGGAGAACTGCGAGCGTAGCTGCGGGCGTCGCTTACCACATATGCGCTTACTGGCCGCGGGGGACGATCCATGATCCGGGGACGCCGCCGTGGCGGCGCTAGCGCTGGCGCTCTTCATGTGATCACTGCAACTGGTGGAAACTCTCTCGGCTAGGGCGGCGCCGCTGGGATCCTTCTCGTTGGTCTGCCGGAGCCAAAACTTCTTATAGTGACTGCGCCCGTAGATGGGAGGAGAGAGGCATGGAACCTGCAGCATTATAATCTATCCTCTCCCCGCGCGATCCACAGGGGAATTCCCCGCGATCCAACGCCTCCGCCGCCGCGATCACGATGATCCTGCCAAGAAGAGACCCGCGCACGCGAAATATTTCGCTAACCTGCGAGGAATTGCGCCGCCGGGGCGCGGCAGCATCGGAATCGAGCGTCGCCGCGCGCTAGGGCCGCGCAAACCCTCGGCGATCGGAGAACCACCGCCCGCCCGCTCGATCGAGGGAAGCAAATAGAAGAAAGACTGTGAGCGCGGCTGGATCGATGATCGAGAGAGAGAGAGAGAGAGAGAGAGAGAGTGTGAAGATCACGCGGCCGGATCTAAAGCTTGCGAGACAAGGCGGCGAGAATATGAGAAGGGCGCGCGACGCTAGAAAAGAGGCCCGCTTAATAGGAATGGGCGATCTTTCTCTCTTTGATAAAGCGGCGCCGCCATATCCCAAGAAGAGGGAATCCAGTGGCGCCGCTGGTCCTTTACAGCCGTCCAATCCCAGCCCCATCTCCAGCCGTCGATGCCCCATCTACGCCCCCGATCCGACGGCCACGGATCGCCACCGCGAGGCTTTCCCGACACGAAATATCTCGCCCGGGAAGGGTGGTCCAAAAATAAGACTTTAGGGCGACCGCGGGTTTTGGCCATGGCGCGCGCGGCTGGTTTAGGATGCGTACGGCCGGCTCACGGGGATGTGTACGAACGGTACGGCCGGCTCTGTCGGCGTGGGGTTAGTTAATTCCCCCAAAAGTTACCATCTGCTGATACCCTGTTGGCGCGCTGGATCGTTTTCTACGAGTAAATGCCCCCCGCCATTCTGCGAAAGAAGGATGCCCTAAAAATTGCGGCGCCAAAGCGAGCCAACGGTGCGATCGACGTTGTGCGATCGTGGCCGTCGGGGGAGCTCACGATATTCTTTTTCCATTTTTTTTTCCTCGCGGTGAAAACGACCGCATTTGCCCGTGAAGTAATTGCTACATCTACCTGGAGGAGGCTTATCGTCATCATCACCATCATCGTTCGATCGGTTTGACCCACCCCACATTTACCACGAAGGCTATAGTAAAAACTTGTGAGCGTTAACTAATTGGGGTGGCTCCATCTCTCCCAGTTTGTTTGGTTGAACGAAACAGTTAATAGGAGTTTAGGTTTGGGGAGCGCGCGCTCGAAATATTTTCGTGTGATTCGCGAGGCGGCGACGAGGCGGAGGAAATGCTGGGCGGAGGAGGAGGAGGAGGATCTGGCGCTGGCAGCGGCGTAGAGGGATTGCTGGCGCCGGAGCCGAGCCTCAAGGCGAGCAGCCACTTCAAGGTAGGGCCGCGATTGCGCGCCGAGGGCGTCATGGCGCCCCCAGCTTCCGATGCCGCCACGCTCCGGCGGCAAGTTTCGGCGCTCCAGATGGATCTCGAGGCGCACATCGATGGCGAGGCGCGGCTCCAGACCATCAATCAGCAGCTGCGAGAAAGGTGAAACTTGGCCCCATCGCTGACTATTCTCTCACGAAAATGTAAGTAGAATGAGTCGGGATTCTTTCTTAGCTAGCTGACATCCTTTGTGGATCCAAAGGCAGGTTGGAGCTCTACATGAAGCAAAACCACGAGAATGTGGAGCGCGCGGAGAGTGAGCTGAACACACTTCATGAAGATATGGAGCAGACGTTGGAGCTGCAGAGGAGATTGGCTCAGAGGTGGGCTTGTGGTGATTGAAAAGATATGGTGGTCACGAAGCTTTTATCACAGAGCCTCGTTACTGGAGAAGGAGAAAAAGGAGCTCGAGGAAGCCCTTCAAAAACGTTCCCAAGAATTCCAGAGCGAGCGTTCGTCTTTACAAACTCGTATTGATACTCTAGTCGAAGACATTGCTTCGAGGCAGGACTTGCATAACCGGTCTAAAGCTCTTCAGGTGGTTGTTCTTCTATTCGTTTAATACCTACCATTGTCTCGGATTCCAGGCAGAGCTCGAAGAAGCTTCAGTAGCAAAGCAGAAGCTTGAAGAGCAGCTGCGAAACTATTCTAATGATTCCGAATCTGTGAAGCGACAGGCAGAAGAATACAAGAACGAACTTGACAGGTTTATTGCGAAGGTGCTGCAAAAGCATGAAATTGAGGAAGTCCGTGAACTTATTTGTTTGTTTCAGGAACATCGTGACACGTTAGTTGAAAACAAAGGAAAAAAGGTGCAACTTCGGAGGTGGTTTCGATGGTTTCAACAATGTATCAAGGAGAAATCTGCTTTAATGGCCAACGAAGACGCTGCTACAGTCTTTGCCAAGTGTAGCTGCTCCAAAAGAGGAATGCGAGCTCTTCGGCTGGCCACGACGAGGGCAGCTAAAATACGAAATTCCGAGAAGTGCCGAGGTCAGGTACAAGCTTAGCTTTCTGTAATCTTCTGGTTCTCCTTTGTTAACGGTGTGCTCTTTTAACAGGCATGTTTACAAGACTGTTGGAGAGCATGGCGTCTGTCAACTTTAGCCAAAAGAAAGTATTTTGGGACCCTGGAGCACAAAAACCGTACCTGCAAATGCAGGATGATGTTCAAGTGGAAGAAAGCGGTGCAAATGGGGAAGCTTAGCGACGTGGAAGAGAAGTCTCTTACCAATGCGGCGTGTAGGCATTGGTCTGACACCATCCGCCGCCGGGTTCTCACTTACTGGCTTCAGTGGGTTTTATACTGGGCTCGACCGAAACATTTAAGACTCAAGGGGTTACAGTGTCGCTTACACCGGCTCACATGCAAGCAAGTCATATGTGGATGGCAGTCCTTGGTACGAGCTAGACGGTGCAAAAGACTGAGGCTATCTCAGGGAGATACGCAGCGGCGACGTTGGCTTCAGATACGAGCTCTCAAACGGTAAGTATTGGTTAATTAGCAAGAACATAACTCACACTGATGTGTCAGATGGAAGAGTGCTACTATTTCAAACAAGATAGGGCGGAAGTTGAATTCGAGGGGCTTGGCATTCTACAAACTTCATCAGTACCAAACAATAATTCATACCTGGAAAGGGTTCATACACTTGAAAAGAAACGAAAAGCTTTTAAAAACAATGGCCTTCAGGCACTACCTTCACGTCTTGAAGTCGAAGGTATGGTCTGAACCATTTCTGAAATTGAGCTGAGACCGGTTGCTTGCAGGGCGTGTCAACTTGGAGGAAGAACGTCAAGTTTCAACGAGCGGAAGAAAGGGCCATCCATCAAATGAATCATGCTCTATGCAAAGCATCGCTGTCTCTATGGCAAGACTATCATGCTGCGCACGCTATAAAGTAAGGAAGTAAGTTGTAGGCTAAGCTATTTGATGCGACTCATGAAAGAAAAATGTTTTTTTGTCAGGAAGCGTAAGGAGCTAAAAGCGTTGATCAACTGTAGCAGGAGGGACAGAAAGGTTCGTTTTGAAGGTTCAAGCTGATCGCTCAATGTTTCCGATCATTTTTTGTTTTCTTTACAGGTTGCACGGTCTTTGTTCTTGTTCTGGTGGGAGGAAATTGTAGCCAGAAAACTTGCATTGCGACTGGCATATCGACTGGCTGCTCAACGAATGCGTGCGAAAATACGGTCCTGTTTAAAGACGTGGCTGCACGCGGCTTTCGGACATGTTCTAGTGTCAAATCTGAAGCTTCAAAATGATCTTTTAGATTCCAAGGTATGGCATTCTGTATTGCATGGTAGACTTTGGTGTAATGCTGCTCTTACTTTCAGGCACAATTTGAAGACCAGAAAGAACAAACGAATGTGATAGACGTTGAAAATCTTCAGCTCATCGATCGTCTTCACAGTTTATCCTCTGAGATTGCCATGCTGAAGCTGACGATCAATGAAAAAGAGAAGCAAGAAGAAGATTTGCACCGCGTTCTCGAAGATGGCGCATTGATTGAAAGCTCAATGCAGGGAGAACTGGACTTGCAGCGGGCGCACGTCCAAGAGCTTCAACTGGAACTTTTCAAACTTCAGGTTTTCAACATTTCTGCTTTTTCGATCACTTGACACTGACTTGCTCGTCCAGAGAAAGCTGCAAAAGAAAAACATTGAAGACACCGAAGGAGAGGTTCATCACACAATGGCCACGCAGAAGCTCCAACGGGCTCTGAAGGATCTTCAGAGGCAGCTGTCGGACAAAACCTTGCAGCTCAATGCATATGAGAAGGTCTGGCAGCTACTTCTTTTGCATACACAGAAGTTTCAATTTAATTCTACAGGCTCTGAAAGAAACAGCCGAGAAGCTTGAGGGAGCATCCGATGAGTCCCACGAGAAGCTTTCAAGTGCTTTTGAAATCGCTGCCTCCCTGCGAAAGTTGCTTGAGGACAGAGAGACACAATATGCGACACTCGAAGGGACTTGCAGGGTAAGTTGGCCTGCCTGGTGCATTCTAATTTTGCGTGCGAGTACATTTATTTTATCCAGAGGAAAGAACTAGAACTTGGGGAGGTTCAGAAGAAACTTGACGTCGTTCACTCCAAGTTTTGTGAAACTGTCGAGGCTCGTGACTCGCGGATACATGAGCTGGAAAATCTTTTGGCACAGAAACAGGCCGAGGTATAAGCCAACAATGTTTTCTTCCTCCGTTAATACTGTTCTTTAATGTTCTCCAGTCCCAAGAGGCCCAGACCGATCTGCAAGAGATGAAAGTGGCTTTGAGCAATCGAGAGTGCCTAGTGCGAAAGCTAGAGTATGAGATAAAGCTCAAGTCTGGTGAGTACTGCTTGTGCTTTGGGACCATTTCTAATTTGAAAAACTGGTTTTTGAGCATTGCAGACAGGGAGTCTCACATTGCAAGAACTTTTATATCCGGACTCAGTTCGCTCTCGTCGCCCAGGACTCACCATGTAGATATGAGCTTTAGAAGCAGCTTCCAGCACCAAGAACCAACGAAACTTTCGAAGTCTATCGTGCAGCAGCAGCAGCAACAGCAGCGGGGAGGACTGGAAGAAACGATTTACACGGAGCACGCCATCCAAGCAGCGGCCGTAACTCCCTTCGCATTCATCACCAAGATGGACAGCCAGGACGAGACCCCAAGCTCCCGCACCTCAAAGCAAGCGGACAGAGCCCAGCAAAACACCTCCGACGCGTCAAGAGGTGGCGACGAGGCGTTATCATCCGCCAGTAGCAGCTCCAGCGAAGATGGTCTCGGCTCTCACGACAATGGAGACGATGACAGGCCGGAATCCTTCTCAACTCGGGCAGACTGGGACACTTCTTTCGCGCTCGTGTCGACGGCACCCAGGCCGGCCACAGCAGCCGGACAGGAAACTCCGCAATACGTAACGACGGAGTCGTCGGACTTGGAGAGGCAGGAGCAAGCGCCGAGAGTAATCGTCGACGAAGATCCTCGAGCAGTGAACGGGCTCCATGCCGAGATCCAAAGGTTGCAAGCTCGGATCATGAACCGCTTGAGAGACACTAGTCCCGGCCAGTCAGAGGTGCGAAAGATGTTCTTCCTCTCGCTCTATACTAACGTTCTTTTGTCATGGCAGCCGGAGCAATCCGCTAGATCACCTCTGAAATGCACTTCACACAGCAGCGATGCCTGATCCTGGTAAAAGCCCGGTTCTTTTATTCGTCTCTGTTGATCAGTTGAGTGGTCACTGCCTCTTCCTCCTGTAGTCGTCGAAGAAACGAGACATCTGGAACCTCCAGGCAAAGACGAGCACCACCGCGACGACGAGCACGAGAATGAGCCACACCGGATCATCGTACGCGTCCTTTGGGAACTCCACGCGCTCGACGAGAAAGTCACTCCTGGAGGACCCCCGCTTGAGCTCCAGCAGGAAGCTATACAGCACGTACGCCTTGAGGCCGTCCCGGACCGTCACGGCGGTGGCAAAGCCCGTCTCATTCAATCGCAACTCGTCCGCCACGCTCGCGCTTCGCCAGTGATCACTGCTCCTCAGCAGCCAGGCCTTGGAGCTGGAGACGACGATCAAAGCACCGTCCTGGCGCAGCGCCATGCCATCGCCACCCACGAGTGGAGTGGAGATCTTCACCAGGTGGGCTTGATCGCCTCGCAAGTTGGTCTTAAACAGCATGCCCGTGTTGCTCTGCCCGACCAGGAGATAGTTGTCCCAGTGGTAGACGATCCCATTTAACCCGCAAGGCCGGACGTGCTCGTCCTTTGTCACCACCGGCGGCGACGTCAAAACTGTGCTCTCGGTGAAAACGCTCGCGTTTTTACCGTCGGGAGTTACCTTCCAGATGAAATTGTGCGCCGAGTTTGTCACGTAGAGATTTCCCTCTCGATCGACTGTGACATCGTTCGCCACTGGTTTCTTCGTCGATCCAGGAGCTCCAATGCTGTCGAGGCGGACGAGGAAATTCCTGGCGCTGGAATCTAAGTCGTAGCTCGCCACGGCATCGAAGGCCGGCGTGGAGTCGTCGAAATTGTGGATCACAGCGACGACTCTGTTGCGAGAGGGATCCACTCTCACGCCCAGGACAGGGTGTTTTCCGGAGAAATCTTCGTCCTCCACGAAGAGGTCGAGCTTCCCTGTGTCGGAGAGGGACCAAATGGAGCCCCTGCCCATGGATCCTAGCAGAAATCGGCCGTGATTTTCGTCCCAGTCGATCCCTTCCGGGAAGAGATCTCTGCGCTGGAAGCCGATGGCGTCGAGCTTGCTGCTGCCGCTGGCGAGATTGCAAAGCGCGAGTGCTGCAAGGAAGATCATACCTGCCATACCAAGAAATTCGAAGCCCTAGTAAAACCCTAGAAATAGGACAACTGCCCAAATGCCAAGCCAAAAGCCCTAAAATCACGAATGAGATTAAGCTCTAAGTTGCTATGGGATCGAAGGCGAGCAAGCAACGGGCTTGAGGCTTCGCAGGCCACTTGCTGCGCCGATGTTGCCCGGCGCCGGGTGGCTCAAACTCCCCTTTTGGATCTTTTGGGTGTGAATTCGGCAGTACCGTGGATTGGAGTGAAAACGTTTCGGAGTTAGCAGCAGACATGGTTGCTGCGATCCGGGAGGGGAGCGGTAGCTGCTGGATATCGTGTGTGCTGTGATCTGCACGGCAGTTCATCGGAAGCTGGAACCTCTTGTTCTCGAGGCAGCTCTTGGCGACACACGCCGGGCTGATTCGGGTTTCCTCTGACACTTAAGACACTAGAACTCAAGGCAGATTCTTCCTGTTGTGGCGAGAGCATCATCTTGCTGGACAAGCACAGGTTTGCAGGTGAAATGAGCTCCGGACTTCCACCAGCTCTCGCTTGCATGGAAATTCCGAGCGACGAGGAAATGAAGAGGATGGTTTCCAGGTTTCCGGTCATCACAGCGCGATCTCGGTGACAGCGGTCGCTTTGATCCGCAGGGAGTTTTCCGTGGCCCATATCACCACAATCAGCTAAGCCGATGTGTTCTACTCGTTGGATACGACGCTGCGTCCTGGATCCTTGTGGATCCCTCCGCACAGAACAGAACTTTCAAAATCTCCTTTTCAGATACACGCAAGTCAGGCGTCGGTATTTTCATCATGGTCCCTGTAGCTTGAAGTGCTTGTGGAAAGCTTACACAGAGAGATGTAACACACTTAGTTGAATTCTCTCCTCGTATCAGACTAGTCGAATCAAACTCAAACAAGATAATATATACGGCATTTAATGTTTAGTTAGAAATGCTTAGGAGTATTTTAAGCACAAGCGAGAAAAGGTCCACGACCGAGGAGCTGTGCTTGAACGGAAGCAGCCGTAGGAGTCAAAAGTTCTGGAAACGTATGGACTGTCATCAACCGGAGGATACATTCAACCATGTTGCACAAGAAACACGAAAGACTGGTTTTTTGTTTGGATTTTCACATAACTCTCATAAAACTTGAATAAATGAATATCAAAATATAGTTATGAAACCCGAACTGAATCAACATATGGTTTATAGATAACATATGGTTCTCTCAAGTATTATTCTGACAATGGAATTTAATCTAGTTTTCAATATTGTGGTGTATTATATGTAATACACAAATGGAATTGAATATGGTTTTTAATGTAGATAACATATGATTCTCTCAAGCACAATTTTAAAACTGGAAGACAATTTGATTTTTAATAATTGTTGATACGAAAAATTAAAATGAAATTGAAACTCAATGGTTTTTGTTCAATATGATTCTCTTGAGCACTATTATAAAATTGATACACAATCTAATTTTCAATATATTAATGGTTTATTATACTATATAATTTTTTTCTTTAAAAACTGAAACATAATATAGCCGTCAATGGTTGATGACATATCATTCTATGAAGTACTATAAAACTAAAACATAATTTTGCTTTTAATATAAATAAACAACACAATCTGGTTTTAATATGGTTCAATTTCATATATTTATATACAAGCCACTAGCAGCACTATGGCTCTTCTCTACTCAGCCAAGGCAGAAGTTCTCTCGTTCATTTCTTTTTTTTTTCTTGTTGTGTTTTGTTTAGTTCCTTGTTAAAGACAACACAATCTGAAGTACGACACAACACACCCTTTTTAAGGTATGGGTTACTCCTTCACAGGCTCAAGGGTTGGAACATTGGTAATGTAGAGGCTAGCAATGGCAATTGTAGCACTATGCAGTTATACAAGTTCTCTTGTTTTTTGTTCTATTGTATTCTTTTTTCAGTTTCTTCATGTGATTCCATCACACGAACTTGGTTGCAATCAAACTTCTTTGCCCAAACAACATAATGCAAAGAAGAATGAAGTAAACAAGTAAAACTATATCAAAGTTTTGTTTTTTCATTTTTCATTTCCACAATGAGCTAAGGTGATATATCTCATTGACGGGCATAGCTTTCTATGGGCTTGGTGTGAAAGATCTAACATGAGATCTATTATAATTATTTTGTTTATAATTTAAGCTATAGTTCTTTATTAGATTTAGCAAACCATAGAATTATGCAATGATCTCTAAGGTTATCCAAGAGAACTATGTACTAATTTCGAGATTGCTAACATTTAACTCTGAGTTTAGCTTTTTAATTTTATTGTATATTGCCGAGACAAGATTTTTTCTTTTTTACTGATATTGCATTGATAAATTTATATGGATCTAGCCAAATCAAATAATAACTAAGGTGATTGAACAAGAAGTGATAAATAATTTGTTGCTTGTTGCATGCAGCAATACTTAGTTTGCTTAATAGAAGTGTCAATCTTATTTAGTATTTTTGAATGATTCAAGTGATCAATAATTATAAACATGTTTATAATTTATAAATCAAGATTAATATTATTTCATATAAACCATTAGAATAATAAGAATAATAATCCTAATAAGAATATACTAGGAAGCGTTTAGGAAAGTTTATAAATTATAAATACAAGATTAATCTAAACAAATAGCAATTTAAAGTTAAGTATCCTTTGGTTTAAGTAATATTGTGAAAGATTTCTTAAGAAAGAAGTTTAAACACATATTCTAACATTAAGATGTTTCTTTTTATTTTTATTTATGAACAAATATAATATATAAATCATATACCTAAGATTGGGAAAATAAATATACTCCACAATAAAAATTGTAACATTGTTGCTATCCCACCTATATATAATCCAAAAATTAGTGGAATATACTTTAAAAAATGAAAAAAATGCTTGTTATACATTAAGAATATCCTTTTCAGCCATCAATATTTACTAATACTATAGATGAAATCCAACTTAGTGAACCAATAGTTTTGCTTAAAACAATCTAGGAGATCTATAGTATGAGGAAGTGGGTATACATATGGAATTGTTACATTATTCAATGGATAATAATTAATATATAATTAAATACCTCTATTAGACTTTATTAAAAAATGAAGATCACAAGCCTAAGGATAAGTTAGCATAAATAACAATTTTCTCCAATATCCCTTTAATATTGATTTGCAAAATTGCAAGATTTTAATCATCTAGTGACCAATGCTAAACATAAATCTTTATCAAATGAGCTTATCTCTAATATGAATAGAGGCATTTGTAAACTCTTGAGTTTAGACTTCAAACCTTGTGGCTTAAATATGATTCTGAACAATCATTCCCTAGAGGGGAAGATTGTTAGGATAATAGGATAGAGGGGAGGATTGTTAGGATAACAGGATAAAAAAAAGGGCCCTAGAAAAAGGGATACACTCTTATTTATTGGTTTTTTATTTTTATATTTAAAGTTTATAGATTATTTTTGATTATTTATAATTTATTATGCTTCCCTTTTAAAAGCCCCACTCTATTGACAGATTGAGGCTAAATGTAAACCTACTAAATGTGGTGTGATTCCTTTAGCAAATCAATAGAGTTAGATTTGAGACTTTTTTAATACCAAATGTAATTTGAACTTTTTAAGAGATCATCTAGCCTAAATCTAAGAACATTTAACTCCAAATATCCCAAAGTGCACCTCTTTTTCAATTAGTTAAAAGTCTTAATTTATAGGTTCTTTCCCTCTATATTTGAACTCTACAAATGTCTATTGAGTCATTCTCTTTAATTAATCATAATGTTACAAAAGACAAATCGAAGTTGAAGAGATCAATATACTCTTTCTTGAGTTGATCAATTGACATTTCATAAAAACTATTTAAGGAATGAAAACAATAGGAAACAAAGGTGATATAAAAGTAATTGAAATAAAGATAGAATAAATTTACAAAGTGAAATAAAAGTGAGAGTAATGGAAAAGAAATAAAGAAATATAAAACAAATTGAAGAAGCTTCAAAATCATATTTAATATAATGTTTCTTCAATTAATTTACACTAAGGATGAGGTAAAAAACTTGATTTCGCACCATCTTAACTTGGAACTCAAACATGTAATCACCCGCACATATTCTAATGATCTTATCTATACAATAGGCTAAATTGAATTCAAAGCTATATTAACCAACACAAAGAGGAAACTAAATAAATTTTTATTATAAAAATAAATTTGAAAAGTAAACATTAGATAAACTAATGCCAAATGAACCCCTTGATAATACACTCAAAAAAAGGATGGAAGAGTCACTAATTTATTCATTCAAAGACTTTTACTACTTATATAATTGCTCACTTCTCAAAAAAAACTTTTATATCAAGTTCTTCATTTGCAAGAATATCAATGATATGTTATTCATGCCAAGGCCTCTATCTAGAAAATATAAAATACCAATTTACGAAATGACCTAACTTAAAAGACTCATAAAAGAATGCTTTAAGCTGCAACGTGAATGCTGTCCAGGAATGTAGCCACGAGGCTCATCAGGCCTCTAAAGATCGTCCACAAATTACTTCATCATAAGTTGTTATCTATACCATCTGAATAAAATCATCTCAGGAATGATAAATGATAATCTCTATAAAATGATAAAACCAATTATATACATAGAATTCCCATAAAAAATAGTTAAACAAAGTATTTGCCACATAAACATTCTTGCCTCTTGCCAAAAAGAGGAGAGTCTATAAACAAAAGAAGTGAAAAAACCATATTTATATATATATATATATATATATATATATATATATATATATATATATATATATATATATATATAGTCCTATTATTCTTTTAAACAAATACAAATGTAAGGTATACTATCTATAATGTTGAGTCCTTAGGATGAAAAAACTATAACAAGAAGAAATATTTTAAAAATAAAAAATATATATCTAAAGAAAAAGCACAATCAATACTATTTTTCACCTTCACTAATGTGTTTTGAATATAGAAATCTACATTTGTATTAGTTAAAACATTAATTTATATACAAGAGTCAGTGGCTTGGATTGAATTTAATCTTATTTACCAAAATACAACTATGCTAATAATGGTATATGACATTTATAGTTCACATTTAGATATTATAACCTTAATTAAGTAGCCAATTTTTTTAAAAGAATTAATCTTGATTATATACTAATTGATTTCATTAAAGAGTATCTCCATATTTTTAATTGATTTTTACTTCATCTGGATAATAAAATGCACTATTGATGTTTATCTATTATATTTTATCATCATTTAGGACTAATAGTTAATTTTCTTAGCATGATGAAAAATAATTTATAAATTAAATAAATTTTTATTATTATCTATACTATATAATAATATTTTTAGCTTAGTAATAGTAGATCATACTAGTTTTTCTGTAAAAGGTTATCACGATAATTTATGACATTGACATATGGATGGCATATCTTCACTAGTTTTATTTATAAAAATAAAATTAAAATAAAAATTAAAACATCAAGTAAAATACTGGTTATTATATTATGTATAAATCTGTTTTTATGTATAATAGAACATATTAACTTTGAAAATTACTTTATTAAAATTCCTTTGATTCTTATAAAATTTTGATTACTTTTATATTCAAAAATTAAATATGTATCTAAAGTTTTCGAAATACTTAAATTTTATCTTTTAATCGTTGGATAATTTTTAAATTATAAAAATTAAATTTATTTAATTATAAGTATTTTTAATTTATTTTAAACTATAGCTATTAATACGTTATAGCCAAATAGTTATTAATGCATTTTATTCACACATCAGCAATTCGTATTATGATATAAAATATTTTTGCTGGGTATTATAATGACTCATAAGGGAATAATATGCATTTTATATTAAGTCATACGTATTAAAAAAATTATTTTATATAAATCAACATCAATAAAATTTTGATGTTCAATTTTATTTAGGATTTGTTAAAATAGAGATAAATTAAAATGCAATTTTCAATAGATTTACTCGTTCTTATTGTGACGTGCATTTTTAAATTTTTGTAGTACTCTATTCTACATTATAATTTTTAACCTTAAACACTTAAAGCAAAAATTCTCTTTTATTTATTTAATAGAATTTATTTCTGAACACTAAAGAGGTTAAAGTTTAACTATGATATATTTGATCTCATAATGACTATTGGACCTTTTGTTGGATTCATGCGCCTTGCAGCAAGAGCAGCCATATTATATATATACACACGTTTACCCCCACTGGATTCTTCTTACCGCCTGAAAGAAAACCTATCGGGGATTGTCTTATTTCTTTTTACTCTTTGGTTGCTGCTGGTTCTTTTCTCGATCCTTGCTACAAAATGTTGCTAGCCGCGATACGCTAGTAAAACCTAGAAATTTGAAGCAATGAAAGTTATGTAAATATTAGTCTGAACGAGTTCTTACCTGGTTCACATGTCTTCTACCTCGACGGTTTTCACAGGCCTTTCATAAAAAACCATGTCTTCATCTGTTCCAAAGTATCTGTCGCCAAACTCACCCATGCCTGGCACCACTCTATAGTCGTCGTTGATACCATCGTCAATCTCCGAGGTGACGATCTTGAGGGTCGGATACTTCTTGCAAACTACGTGGATTCCCTCCGGTGCCTGTAGGAGTGAACAAAGTTGTGGTTTGATCGATATGTAGAAAAGCCCAGCATACCGAGATGAGGTTGAGGAAGATTATGTGACTTTCTGGTACTCCCTTGTCAACGAGAAGTTGTATCGCCTGGACTGCTGAGTTTCCTGCGCGTTCGCAACTTGTCAGCACTGTTTTCTATCGGAGAAAATGGTAACACACCTGTGGCGAGAATGGGATCCAGGAGAAGAACGTGTCTCTCGGCAATGTCCTTCGGGAGCTTTTCATAAATTAGCTGCGTCAGAGAAAAGAAGAAGTAAGAAATCATGTCAATGGCTGCTCTGATGAAGGTTTTACTTGTTTTCCATTGTCGCCTTCCCGGTGTATAAGAATCTTGCCGATTTTTATTCCCTTGCAACAGGCACGCAGAGCGTTCTCCATACTTTCTCCGCTACAAACGCCACGAAATCATCAGCCACGAAATATCATCAATGGCAGCAAACAGTACCTCCGAATGATCGAAACACCACACAGTTTCTTGCAAAAGTCCACTCCAGTGTAGACAGAACCTGCAAAACAATATTAAGAAACAAAGCCAAAGAAGCTGACAAACATTGAAAACCTGTTGGAGTAATCACTTGTTTTTCCTGGAATGGGAGATGACCCAGACCATGTTCGACGACCTGGAGGAGAAAACATCAGCGTCATTCGTGTCAATGACACATACCAAACGTATCAGCCTGTCCGCATAAAAAACAAAGTCATGCTTAGTGGTTTCCTGGTCACGGATCAAAGTGTGCATTCCACGAATCTAGGAAAAAGTTTCAACGCCGCAGTAGCGTAAAGGATCATACTACCTGGTAAGTAGATTGGATCACATAGACGTTAGAGTAAATCTTCGTCAGGTCATGCTGCCCAAGTTTAGTGTGGATATGCTGGACAATCAGATCAATGGCAACGTGATTGTCGCCTCCGCGGGGTATAATGACGTCCGCATATTTCTTAGTGGGCAGGATGAAGTCGTCAAATGAAGGCTTTACAAACTTGGCGTACTGAAGGAACCAAATCAAGAAGAAAAAGCAAATCAGACTATATCTTCATGATCCAGACACTGTACCTGTTGGAGAACACTTTCTACACCCCTTCCTCTTTCGCAGGTGTCCCTTCTTATCCTCCTCGCCAGCCTGACATCAGCATCTGCGGTGTGGAGAGCACTTCTAAAATGCCAGGATAGCCAAAGAAGCGGCAAACCTGTGTCGACAAAAATCTTCATGTTCATCAGATCACGAACGCGACTGTCATGGAAAACCAGGATTCCTTCCAGGATTATAACATCTGCTGCATTCACCTAGGCAAAACCATGGCTCTTCAGACTGTGCATGGATGAAAAGATGCACAGACCTGGCGAAAGGTGTCACTGCACCGCCGATGGAGCTTGAAATCGTAAATGGGAATTTGCACGGGCTGGCACTTGAGAAGACTTCCAACGCATTGCAAAAGCTGTTCGGTATCAAATGCGTCTAGAAAAAGTACCATAAAAAAATGAAAGAATTAAAAAGAAGGTTGGAACATCACACTCACCAGGATGATCAAAGTTATATTCGCTGACGTGCCCGTGTTCTTCCGCAGTGAGGCCCCGGTAAAACGAATCCTGAGAAGAAGCTGGAGTAGTGAGGAAAAGAAAGAAAGAAATTACCTGATTCACGAGCACCACCCTATGATCGTGTAGCTGCTGTATGATCATGTTACACACCGTGGTCTTTCCGGAGGCAGTACCGCCAGCAACACCTGCCAAGAAGAAACAAGGAAATCAACAAAAGAAAAGAATCAAGGCTCCGAGGAATTCCAAAGAAACGATCGCACAACAAACAATGCGGGAACTTCAGTGCTTCAAAGCTCGGAATCCGACAGGAATCTGAGCTCGAGAACGCCCCGAGCTGCGGCGATGCATGAAGAATCGATCGAAGCGAGATTTACCGATGAGAAAAGGCTGGCGATTGCTGTACGCGGCCGCGGCGGCACCATCGTCCTCGGACGCCGGCGCGAGGAAATGCGCATCGGAATTCGTGGACAGTGGATCCATCCCCATTCGACCTAAGCGCCGCGCCTCCAAGCTCTCACCTCTCCCCCATTAATCTTAGCACAGCTTTGCCTCCTCCGTTTACCCTTAACAGCGCTGTTAAGCTCTGGCTTTATACTCCACTGACGGAGCTGACGGAGCCGTTTGTTTGACGGACGGAATTCAGTTGTTACTCGATATTTTAGGGTTCTTGCGGAGGAGAAAGGGGGAGAGGATTGATCGCGACAATGCAGGCTCCGCGCGGCCAATTCCTGTGCCCCAAGTTCGAGATCGAGCCTCTGGACATGGCGGGCGGCGCGATGCAGATGGTTCCGGCGCCGCACGTAATGCGGCCGCTCCAAGAGATTTGCTGCTCGGTGGATGCGTCGGGGTTGCAGCAATTAGAGCGGCTGGAGAAGGATCTGGAGCAAGCCAAGCAAAAGGCAAGAACTCTCTCGATCGATTCTTTCGTTCTTTCATTTTCCTTTCTTTCGCTTGAGGGTAGTAAAGTTTTTTGCACAGAGGAAACACAGTGGAGGATTGCGGGGATTTGGAATTGTTTTTTTTTTTTCTTTCTTTCTTCGTGGTAATAGCTTTGGATTAAACAGCTTCTAGTGTTGAGAGCACAAGGACACCAAGAATCTCTACAGAGCGAAAACAAGGTGAAATTCTCTCAGGTAATCGTCTATCCGTGGCTTCTTTCATTTCTTCTCACTGTCTATCATACAGAGAGTTTCTGAGAGCCGCTATTGGACTAACGAGGAGCGCCAGAGATTCAAGAAAGCCTTGAAAACGTAAGCAAAAGCTTTTAGCTGTATATAAACTTTCTTTTAGTTTCCTTCACACCAGTGATACTCACTTTGAGAAAACTCTGAGATTCTCTTGCAGCTTTGGAACCGATTTTGCTGCCATTGCAAAGTTCGTCGGGACGAGAAGCTCCACTCAAGTTCGCACTCACGCGCAGAAATACTACGCCAAACTTGTAAGTACCGAGCTTCCCATCCGCGATTCTAGCAGTACAAACTTGTGGATCGCTTTCGTTTTAGATCCGGGACTATAAGCGCTCCGGGAAAGCTCAGGCAGCAGCAGCTTCCGGTGTCAAGGACAAGTCGGGGGCCGCCAACGCAAGAATCGCCACTGAGAGCTCATATATTAGGTGCTCGCAATAGACCATTGTTTTGGCAGTGTTTGCCTCCTCCATTGTAGAAAGTCTACTTGTTCGTTTCGGACTGGAATAATGGAAAAGCTTCGTGAGTGAAAAACTTGTGTATTTCCTTGGGTTTTAAAAAAGGAAAATGTTGCCTATTATCTGATAGCAGTAAACTTCTTGAATTGATGTTTAGAAACAATGTGTGGCCGCAGCCTTTCGGCATGTGATCTTTACTCTAGCCTTCAAGCGTACATAGATTTCGCTGCTAAACTCTGGGACTTTTCTGTAGTCGAGAGCTTGGAGGAGACCTTCAATGTCTCTATCGACTGAGAACACCAAAGACCTGTGACATCGTATGGACCTTCTAACTTTTGAAAGGACTATATCCATGGCGTTCCTTAGGCCTTGCAAGTGTAAGTACTTTTAAGTCGCTTTTGTTTCTGGTGCTTTTATCTTAAGGGTTTTTCATGTTTAGGCAGTTTCGTTAAAAAAAGAATATACTTTTTATATACCTTGTAAAATATATAAATATAAAGATATTTTAAATACTAATAATAATAATTTTAATAAAAATAATCAAAATTTAAATATATGTATTAGAAAAGCAATCAAATCAATTAAAGCTTTTGCATAGTTGCAAATTTATTGGAGAAATACTCACTCTTTGCTTTGATCATAGAAGCCTTATAATCCTTGTAGATAAAGGCTCACCTCAATAAATCCACTAAGCTAAATCTATCAATAAAAACTTGCAACCTGGCAGCATGCCCATGCTATTGTCTCCATGCATTATTTTACTAGGGTATTTAATGTAAGCACACTTGTGGTGGCTAATTTAAAAATCATTTAGTGGATTAAGTGCCCACATTTTAAGGCATTTTGCCTTAAAATGGATATGTGAAGTCTTCTTTATGCTCATCAATAAAAATTATCCATTAAAGGATTTACATTTTAACAACTAAACAATATAAAATGGATGTGTTGGAACTTTGTCATTAGAGGGTGGCATATACTTAATCTTGAGGGTAGCAATTTAAACTCATTAAGATCCATAGCTACTCTTGAAATTAGTAGAAAGCCAAAAAAAAAGAACATAAAAAAGTTTAAATGAGTTTTATAATTTTATTTAAGATTTATAAAAATAAAATTTAAAATCTTTAATTAATTTTTAATTTACATTTTACCAATTATTTTATAGAATAAACTGGGATATTCCATGATGTGGCCCAACTGCCAAACAAGTGTTTATCACTTGTTTTGCTTTGTCAGTGCTTTTTCAAAAAGGCTACAATTATAAGTGCCCAAAGAGGCAAAGCTTTAATTCAAGTACTTTATTTTCTTCTTCACTAGCAGAATAATTCATAAGTTCTAGATACTCTAAATATGATTAACTGTTTACCAATACTTTGTAAGTACTTGCTATTTTCATTATAGTTATTTGATAACTACTTAGTTTTAATGGAGGTCACTTTTTGTAGATGTTCATTGGGTTGTGTAAATTGGCTTTTGTGTTAACCAATGACATTTAATACTTATAAAAAACCATTAAGTAAACATTGAAATATACATATAAACTAAGGTTGAAACATTGGCAAGGATCAACAAATTTAGAGAATCAAAGTTTCCAAGGGATTTGTGTATTTTCATAGATTTTTTCTTCATAAATGGTTGCAACCAAAAGTTAGCCAGTGTTACTAGTGGTGATGTTATACCTTCTAGCATATACAAGATGGATTTGAAGGTCCCTATACGAGATGGATTTAGTATGTGTGTATTATCTACAATGGTTTTCTAATTGCTCTTAATTACAGGTAATCGATAAAGTTATTGATAGAATTGATGTAGCTACACATGAACAGATGAACAGGTATTCCAATGGTGTACATAAAGATACTTTCTCTTTTCAGGTGAAAAATAAAGTGATGAGCACTAATCCTATTGATGTTGCTACTTACTAGTCTCCTAATGGACAATCCAGCATAGTGAGCTATGCAAAAGGGGAACTCATTTGAATATAGTAAAAGTCTCGTGCTTTATTTAACTTGTAAAGAGTATCAACAATTGCATACACTTCTCATCAAACATAGATCACTTCATCACGTTCACCGTTTTAGGGCACATTTCAATGCAGCTCCCAGTTGTTCTTTACAAGAGTAGTGTTCCTTGGACGAGTTGCACAGCTGCTGGCAGCTGCTAAATCCATTCTTGAGGCAGCAAAAATACTTGATATCAGGCTCACATAGTTGTAGGCAGCTGAATCCATTCTTTAGGCAGTAGTAGTATTTGATGTTGGAGCACACTCTTGAACACATCTAAAGCCATTCCTTAGGCAGTAGTATGTATTTTGGAGGCCTGCAAACATCAAAAGTAGAGAAGTAGTGGCATAATCAATATCATAAGGATAGCTTGTGATCTCAACACGAGGGATCATAACGTGATCTAAGTTACTATGTTTCAAGGTGTTTTAGATGACAACATTAAAACTAGCAGCCTCATTACCTTCACAAGGCCCCTTGACAATGTAAGTCACATCGTCAGTCACTAGAACCATATCTGTAGGCTAGAGAAATGATTTGCAAGAATGCAAAAGTTTTTGCACATATGTTGAGAGTTGCAAGATGCATCAGCTATGAAGAGCAACATGCCAAGGATGATGGTAGAAAGAAGAAACACTTTGGCCATCCTCCTTGAACTGAAACCAGAAATATTATACTTGACAATACAAGGTTTGTAAATGGAGAATGCCTATGTGCATTGTGTAGGTGTCCCCAGATGCATGCTTAAGATAAGTAATTAGTATATCACCCAAGAAGGGAAGACTTTATGAATGTATCTAAAATAGAAACCATCAAAAAATCTTACTATAATCCATTGGTCTCATGCTTCTTGGTGGACACCACAAAAGTAACACAGATGAGAATCTACTTGCTACTAATAACAACAACATGATAGCAGCTTCAATTTCCATTACTACCATGATAACAGAGGAAATAGTTGATTCAATTGCTATTGCTGCCACTATAAGCTCAAATCTTACTACAATCAGTGATATTGCAAGGGAAAATATAGTCCAATGTTTGGATCCTATTGCTTACACCTTTAAATTCAACTACAATTTCAAAAACCAACCATATCAAATATATTTCTATATTTCTGAAAGATATTATAGTAAACTTTAAATCTTCCAATTTTAAACGAATTATAATCATGAATAATAAACTAAAGATTTACAGCTATATGAAAAAGTTCACAAACTAAAAACTATTCCAAAAACAAACACAATTATATTAAAGAAAAAAATGCACAACTATAGTCTAGCTACAGTATATAATAATTTCAAAAAGTTTCTAAAAATAACATCTTAAATAAAACCAGGAACTTTGAGCTCACACCAGAAAAGTCTAGAAGATCTAACTCAATTTAGCCGTAGTTCAGGCGGAAAATATCATTGAAAACGTAGAAGCTTCCTTGTGGAGTCGGGATGAGATGGAACAACTGCAATAAAAAATCAAAATAGAAATAAAAAAACAGTTCAAAAGTTCAAATCAAAGAGCGCTACGGAAATAGGACAAGAAAAGAAGAAATGGAAGGAAGAAAACCGGCAAAGAAACGTTAAAAGAAAGAAAAGACAAGACGAACCTGGCTAAACTTGAGAGGATGATCTTCGCCTTGGAGCTTAAGGCTGCCGCTGACAAAGACGAGCATGCCACTGCCGGCGCCCGAGGGCTGGAAATCCACAGTGGAGATTTGGTGCTGGCATTGCTGGAAGGGCAATCCATTGAGCTTGGCGGAGATGCTAGCGGCGCCCTGGATCTTCTCGCCCTCAAACGTGAGCATTGATCCATCCTGGTACAGACCCGCCAGCGCCGGGCGATTCGTGTCGAAGAGCGAGTAGTAGTGATCCACGAACGCCTTGGCAACCTGATTGGGATCCATCGCGCTCGCCTCTCTGGGCTAAACCCTAAACCCTAAACGCTGCCTTCTCTGGAATTTGAAGTCGTATATACTGCACAGAGAATGTTTTGATTTGCGAGCACATAGAGAAGTTTATTTTCACTCGAATGTTTTGATTCTTGCGAGATCCGCGAGCATCTGTTCGATTCTTTCGTCGTCCAAGCGGCCTTTTTTCTGGAACAATCAAACATAAAACCAGAAGAAAGAAAAAAAATCCATTTTTCTTACAGCTATGGACGGGACTAAAGCAGTGGCTTCTTCGACAGTCTCTGGGCATAAATTCCCAAGCACGCAAACCTGGAGCAGCAAGAGAATGAGATTCGAGACCAGGGAAAAAAAACTTTCCAGGGAATACCTCAAACTCTGCGAGCTGGTTCCTGCTTAAAACTCTGGAACGAGGGGAAAACGAAGAGAAAGAAAGCAAAGTCAGTGTGATTCTTCCAAAACCGGAACGAGAAAAGTTTAGATTTTTACTCTCGAACTTGCTGGACAGCCTCCGGATTCTTGTAGCGGCTGAAGCGCTTCACATAAGCGAAGGACTTCTCGAAGACTCTGCCAAGTCCCCGGGGTGAGGAGAAAACCAAGAACACGAAGAACACAAAACTTACTGGGACAACTGACTGGAAGGATCGTCGCTCATTTGATTCGCAGTGTCGTACTTGTGCTGGAGGATTTTGGCCACTTCGGCATTCATCAGGCATTTCTCCTTCAAGAAATCTACAAAAGAAAAACTTAGAATCAATCCATCGCTAGGGAAAGGAATCGCCGATCGCTTCAATGTCCGCGACATCTTCTTTCTAGGTCTAATCCTACTCTTAGGAACTAGAAAGCTCACATACCCTCGCCAAGCTTGAGCTCGCTAGCGTCCTCCTCCTCGTTCGCCATCGCCCAAGAACCCTAAACCTTCGATAAAAGATGGCCTGCCCTAATTTCCTTTTCTCACAAATGGAGGTATCAAAAAGAGTTCTCTCCTACGTGAAGTCGCAGTACGAGTTTGGGCTTGTGGACGAGGAAATTCTCGAGGCCGCCAAGAGGGACGTTTTAGACGCGGAGGCTTCGTTCCGCGCCAGCAACGTGATTCTATCGGATAATCTTTGCCCGCTCGTTGTGGATGCCCACCTCTACTATTTCTTGGCCCTTCTCTACGTCTCGAATCATCTCAAAGGGAAGCCACTGGCAGCCTCCAAAGAACTAAAAAAGCTCGTCAACTTTGGGCAAGAGCTCTCTTCGCAGTGTCTTAATGGATTTGATGATTTGACTCCTGCTTTCACAGCCCTCGAAGAATTATAGTAAAATTTTCTTTGAAATCTTCTTCCTTGTTTGTTAACAACATGTTTTGCAGTAATAGAAGGGGTGACACTGCGAATGAAGAAGAGTAAGTTTACATAAACTAGTATAAAACTTATTTATCAATGTTGGAATTATCAGAATTATCACAGTTGAGGAGAGTGAGGAGATCATACTGGTAGTCAAGCGCCCTTTGCTGTAAGAAATCCTCAAAGATCCAAAAGCCGGATTATATTGACATTCATTCTTTGATCAAGGTGGGACGTACTTACAAAGGTGGTGCATTCACCGTATTTTTCCATCTTTCCTGAAGTAAGTAGACTTGTGATCCTATGATAATTAAAACATTCTCATCATAATCTATCACAGGGGCAAGCTTGGACAGCCGTTTTCACAAAAGTCCAGCAAAAAATCGCCACTCACAAGCACTTGTGTGTGACGCGCGATAAGATCACAGAACTCTACAACGCTACGCAACGCTTCGCTCCATCTGCAACACAGTGCGAAGAAATCATTGGGCAGGGCTTGCGATCGGTGGAGCTCGACAACTTTGGGTTTAGCTGGGGCGCCTTGACAGTCGCCCAGGCCAAATCTCTCCTCGAGGCCTCGTCCCGGAGTTCTTTGGCTCGATCGCTCTTCATAACTCGCCCTCCAAGATCAGTGTTCCTCTCGCATTTGCTAGCTGTGTCAGATTGCGCTGTGCACGCCCGGCTTTGGCTGCTGCGAAGCGACTCACCGATTTACCACCAATTCCCAAGTCTAACTTGTAAGTTTCTCAAGATTATAGAGATCGTCCTTCTAGTATACTGATTTTTCTATCTTTTCTAGATCGAGTGCTAGCTGCGGAAGCCAAGGTTCAGGAGAACGAGTTTTTGGAAGCCAAAGTAAGATTAAATTCATATTGACAGTCTTTTAACACCTTCGTTGTATAGATTCTCATGTCGAAGGATGGATTCCAGCACAGAATACCTGACGTGAAGGACTTGAAGATGAGAAAGAACGATCTTGTTCAGCATGCTGATTTCGTATAAAGCCAAATGATTATAGTATAGAAAGATCCATTGCTATGATCGTTCCATGATCGTGTTCGCCACGAAAAACGTGTAACAAGCAAGCTTTGTCTTGTTGGGATAGAGTTCGTGTTGGATTCTATCTTATTGTCCAAAGCTCAAAATTTTTGGACCTTATCAATCAATATTGGATGAATTCCAAGCCAAGCTCCCCGATAAGATCCACGCCCCCAAGAAACAAAAGCGTGTACCCAAGGTGTGCTTAAAATGTTGAAAATTTCTACCTGTAACATTCAATTACTAATTCTATGTATATATATATAAAATTTCTATGATAAATAAAAAAATTATCAATAATAAGCAACGGCTAACTTTCCCACGAATTTCGCTTTTCGCGTGGGGTAAAAGCACAAAACGCACTCGCAAATTTTGAAAGTTGACAAAGATCGTGCATGCACCGTCATGGCCACGTGGCAGCCCTTGACGGCGCCCAAAAAGTATTTCTAGGGCTGGGCTATTCAGCTGAAAATCTAGGACGCGTCCAATGCAGCGTCCACGAGCGTACGAACAGCGCCATAGGTACGGCCTTGTTTCCCTCTTCTTCGTGTTTGATCCATCGTGGGAGCTAGCGAAGAGCTCGCAATCGCGATCGCGGGGCTTTGTCGATCGAATCCTTTCTCCTCATAGCCTGGCGCGTGCTCCAATGCGATCGTGAGAGAAAGAAAAGGCGCATTTCCTCCATGGCGACGCGAGCCCTAGCGCAAGCCCTAGGCAGGCGTGGCGGCGGCTACTGGCGGAGAATCCTCGCGCCAGCGTCGCCGCGAGTGATTTTGAGGAAGAATGCGGTCGATTCGTGGGGGTTTCTCCGGCAAGCTCGATTCTTCTGCGACGAGGTGGAAAAATCTGGAGGAGAAGGGGGTATGACCGTCCAGGAGGCCAAGCGCTTGATTCGCCAGGTAAACGTCCAGGCTCTCAAGAAGCAGCTCCACACCAAGGAGTGCCCTTGCATTGACTACACGGAGCTCGCGAGCTTGTGTAAGGAGATGGGATTGGCCGATTCTTCCGACGAAGCGAGGAAGCTCGTCCTCGCCATGGATGAAGCTGGGGAGATCGTTCTCTTTCGCAACAAAGTTTATCTAGACGCGCAAGAGGTATTTTACTTTCCTTGCCCTTGTTTTCTTTCGATGGTTTGCGTGCTGGGGTATTTTGTTTTTCTTTCATCGAGCCTTTCCTTCTGTGTGTTTCTTTGGATTGATTGAGCTGAGAAGAAGGTTTGTTTCTTTGGTTTGTTTGTTTTGCGAGGTCGTTTGGTCGCTAGTTTTGGTTTCTGAAAGTTGATCGTTTTCGTTGCTAGGCTTCTTTACTCGTTTCCTCGAGTTAAGTATCCTTTTCTGTTTCTAAGATTGTTTCGTTGTTTGCTCCGCTAGTCTAGCTTGTTTGATGGATTGAAAGCTTGTCTTTGCTTGTGTCGGAACTCTGTTTCTGTGCGTGATTAAGACCAGGCCACAACTATTTTTCTGTGCCATGGCTTTTGTGGCTGTTCCTGGATTGAGTTTTTCTTTCCCTTGTTGAAAGCATGCGATTTTCTAGCTCGAAATCTGATTTGGTTGGTTGGCTGGTTGTTGTCAGTCTTTGTCTTGGGTCGTGAGTAGAATTCAAATCGATCTTTGCTTACCATGTTTGATAAGACTGCCAAACTTATATTCGTTTCTGACGCGCGTTCTATCTTTTTCCTCGTCACAGATCGCTGAGCTCGTCTCTCGCGCACTTCCACTCCGCCTGGTCGGTGAGGACGATCCCCGCGTGAAGGAATTCGAGGAGCTCCACGACCGCAAGGAATCCATTGACGAGATCGCGGACAGGCAAGTCAGAAAATTCCTCTGGGTGGGGCTCCTGGCGCTCACAGGCGGGACCGGGCTCTTCGTCCGCCTGACTTTCTGGGAGCTCTCCTGGGACGTGATGGAACCCATCGCCTTCTTCATGACAACGGGCTTTATCATCGCGGGCTACGCTTACTTCCTGTTCAGCCGCCGCGATCCAACTTACCAGGGGCTCATGCACTCGCTGCTGGCCAGCCGGCGGCGAAGGCTCATGAGACGAATGGGATTCGACTACCAGAAGTACAAAGCTCTGGAGAAGCAGTGCATCACGACGTGTAAGCTCAACAAGCCGGCGAAACACTTCGAGCACGACGAGGACGACTAAGAACAGCTTACTGCCGAGTAACGAGGTACTCACATTGGGAGCTAACCAACCTCGACGGTGGTAATGCGGATCCACCACCGTGGTATCCAGAAGTTTTGGGGGGTGTGTGTGTACAGGTAAAACCAGGCAAGGCAATGAAGAACAAGGTTCTCTTCCATTTTTCCTTTTTGTTTTTGTGTTTTGGTCTTTGCGGTGAATGCGTTTCTCGTCACAACACGTTTTTTTCAGGCAGCGAGCATTTTTTACATCAAAGTCGAAACGGAAGTGGATTGACTGTGCGAGATCATGAAGGATCTCTATATTTTACTTGTGTCGTACGTGAAGAAATTGCTGAAATCAAGGCATGATGTAAGAAATGCTTGGAGTGATCTGCAACGATCCAGGAGGAGCCACCTTGATTTATAGATAGACATATGACTCATATGAGCTTTTCCGTATAGAATTTTGGTTTTTTTATTTATTTTGATTCTTGCAGTGCATGCATCCATTGCCACAACACATATTTCCAGGCATGCATGACGCGGATTCTTGCATCAAAGTCGATAGAGCTCGCGTACGGAGCTGGGATTGAATCGCCCAAAGCCTTGAGTTCATGAATGATCTACATTGTTTACTTGTGCCGTACGCTAGGAGAGCGTAAAGAGTGTGAGCTCGAAGAATTTGTCAAACCATTTAAAATTATACGTTCTTTAACGCTGGTCAGAGATGCCCTCGTAAATTTATGAAGAACATGGTTTCGTGATAGCTTTTACTGCTTTCCCGCGGAATTGTCAAGATCATGGTAGACCGTTGTCTAATAAGTTAATCTCATTCTAGATCAATACGTACATTTTAACAAGGGAGTCTAATGCATTGCATCTATGTAGATAGGGTCCATGCGTCTTAGACGGGCACAAGCAGACCATATAATATTGAAGGAAGTTTCTTACCCTGGTTAAATCCAAACTACATGGTCCATTCAGATAACTTGTAGCGGTGATATTCTTTTCCGTGTGCCCCCACATACCACCAAAATACTGCCTGTCCTAACGTACGCTAGCCATACAATATTTTACAAGATATACCAAAAGTAATTTTCTTTTCGGAAGTAGAAATCGTGGGTGGGGTTAAAAAATGTAAGTGCTCCACCCATTGAGGTGTGTTTTAAACCGCGACCCAAAAGGACGAGGGGTCAGAGTCGCCGTGAGAGTCAAGGCATCCGTACACACAAGGATGAAATGAGCCACAGGGCATTACTGACCACCCTGGCCACTACTTGCACATCTTGCCAGCACCTCACGTATCCCAAGCAATAAGTGCTGGCGGTTATCGGGGTCTTTATTTCGACAGATCGCTTATCAGCTGATACGCTATCAAAAGATAAGTCAGTGAATGGACGGATGCGATTGGTGACATCAACGGCCGAGATTTCTTATTCGTCGTCACTGTCAGATTGGAGAATGCTTAGTACCAGATTAGCCTCTAGTGGGAATTTCAGTTTAAGTTCTCGATAGCCTATCATCCGATAAGGCAACCGACATATCAGTTACCTTATGGCTGAAAATGGAACTCCCCGAAATAAATTTAAGAAGAAAAGAGCCATTTTAAAGCCTCGAATTTGCATCTAAAATTTTATAATCCGCGGAATTTTCGAGCAACCACACATTTTTGTCCATGTTTGTTTTTTTCTTTTCTGTCTTTTTTCTCTCTCCTCTCTGCCGCCAGCCCAGTTCGTGTTTGTGTGATAAGCGCACCCACGTATAATTTTTTTTATCTTTCGTTTATATGGTCTCTTCCAGCCAGTCTGAGAGTGCCTTTGTCTTTGTGCTTGTCCTCCTCCTTCGCGTTGAAATCGCGCTTAGGTTTTCCCCATTCCAGGGCGCGGCGCATCACGGCGGTAGCGCACGGCGCGTCTCCAATCGCCGGCGCCAGATCCTCGGGCTCGGTGGCATTCGGAGATTTTCGGGGCTTAGATCCAGGGCGCCGCCATTGCTGAGCAGTGCATGAAGGCGCGATGAGGCGGCGGTGCTCGGCTCCCGGGTGAGATTTTAGCATGGATTAGGGGATACAGGGGAGGCGGCGGAAGAAAGGGAAGGAAAGGGGTTTTCTTGCTCTTATAGCGGCTGTGGTGTGTGACATACAAAAAGATATGTCGTCGCTCAGTAGGGAGCTTGTGTTCCTCATCCTCCAGTTCCTCGACGAGGAGAAGTTCAAGGAGACTGTTCACAAGTAAGTAAAAAAAAAAGACAAAAAAGGAGAGATAAATAGGAAAGAAAAAAATGAGATAAATTTCGTACACGTACTTGTGTTGACATCATTTGCGTGCTGTGGTGGTCAGGCTAGAGCAAGAGTCGGGATTTTTTTTCAACATGAAGTATTTCGAGGACCAAGTTCAGAACGGCGAATGGGATGAAGTGGAGCGTTACTTGTCGGGCTTTACCAAGGTAGATGACAATCGCTATTCAATGAAGATCTTTTTCGAAATTCGCAAGCAAAAGTATTTGGAAGCACTGGACAAGTAAGGAGTTTGTTTGGTATTGATTCGTTTCTTCGCTGATATCTAACGGGTTTGTTACCTCTCTCTCTGGCGTCAGGCAAGAAAGAGCGAAAGCCGTTGAGATTCTCGTCAAGGACCTCAAGGTGTTTGCGTCATTCAATGAGGACTTATACAAAGAGATTACACAGCTTCTTACTCTCGACAACTTTAGGTTCGTAATGCCAGTACTCTCTACTTTTCTCTTGTCTAACCCGCTGGTTCACAGAGAAAATGACCAACTGTCGAAGTATGGAGATACGAAATCCGCAAGAAATATAATGCTTATCGAACTTAAAAAACTCATCGAAGCGAATCCTCTATTTAGAGAAAAACATCAATTTCCATCATTGAAGGCATCACGGCTTCGCACCCTTATCAACCAGAGGTTGGCACTTTTTTGGTTCATTTATCCCTTCTAAATGTGCTGCTGCAGTCTGAATTGGCAACATCAATTATGTAAAAATCCTCGGCCCAATCCCGACATCAAAACTTTATTTATCGACCACAGTTGTGGTCCTCCGAACGGAGCGCGTGCGCCTCCGCCTGCCAACAATCCTCTAGTTGGAGCGATGCAGAAAACTGCGGCCTTCCCTCCACTTGGAGCACACGGGGTAAGAGGCTTGTGTTCCATTGAGAAGGGAATTTCGTTAAGTTTTTTCTTTTTCTTTTCAGCCTTTTCAACCATCTGCTGGTCCTCCTGCAAGTGCGCTAGCCGGTTGGATGGGAAATGCAAATTCCGCAGCCCCTCACGCAGCAGTAGCTCCTGGCCAGGCGCTACCTGGTCCGCCAAATCCAGGTATGTAAGTGGACATTCCGTTATCATATTGTTTGATCTCTGTATCAATTGCAGCTGCTCTTTTGAAGCGTCCCAGAACACCCCCGGCAAATTCGACCATTGACTATCAGTCGGCAGATTCGGAACACATTCTTAAACGCCCGCGTCCTCAGGCAGACGAGGTGTGATCACCAGGTCTCTTTTCTCATTATTTGATAATTATGTTTTCTGTGCAGGTGAACTATGCTGGAGCAAGTCATCAACGCAACGCTACTTTGGACGATCTTCCAAAGACACATGCTAGAACTTTAAACCAGACGTCGTCCGTGACTAGCATGGACTTTCATCCAATGCATCAAACCGTATTGCTTGGTGAGTTATTTTGCATTTTGTCTTTCTGTTTACGTTTTGTTTTCCCTTGTTTCTTGTAGTGGGTACAAATATTGGCGAAATTAGCATCTGGGAGGTAGCATCGCGAGAGAAATTGGCATATCGGACTTTCAAAGTGTGGGATATTTCTGCATGTTCTGTTACGATGCAGGTAGAATTTGGTTCTTTTTCTTTTCCGTGTCATGACATAGCACCTTTGCAGACGGCATTTGTGAAGGACCCAGCTGTTCTTGTTCACAGGGTGGTTTGGAGTCCAGATGGAGCTCTTATCGGTAAGTAACTTCCCAGTTTTTATTCATATAAATGCTCATGCCTTCCTTTGTAGGTGTGGCTTTCTCCAAATTTATTATTCATCTTTATATGTACAATGGAACATCTGAGCTTAGGCAACTTCACGAGGTACCGACTGTAAACTCAATCATTTGCGCTTGGATTAACATGTAAATCACAGATCGATGCTCATGTTGGTGGAGTCAACGACCTTGCATTTTCTCATCCCAACAAGCAACTCTGTGTTATTACTTGTGGAGACGATAAGACCATAAAGGTTACCTCTGCTATCGATTTTTGTTATGCATTCTTATATCGGTTTTCACGTGTAGGTTTGGGAAGCCATGACCGCTCGCAAGATTTATGTATTTGAAGGTCATGAGGCAGCAGTGTATTCTGTATGTCCACATCATAAAGAAAGCATACAGGTCTGTGTCCATTGCCGTTTTCTTTATTATGGGTTTATGGTTATTGCTCTGCAGTTTATATTTTCCACCGCACTTGATGGGAAAATCAAAGCTTGGCTTTACGATAATCTCGGTTCTCGAGTAGATTATGATGCTCCTGGTCGCTGGTGCACAACAATGGCTTACAGTGCGGATGGAACAAGGTTTGCTTCAACCTTTGGTATTTCCATCACATCCTTTGTTTTTCCAGATTGTTTTCTTGTGGAACAAGCAAGGATGGTGAGTCTTTTCTTGTGGAGTGGAATGAAAGTGAAGGTGCAATTAAAAACACCTACAATGGTTTTCGGAAACGCTCCATCAATGTGATTCAGTTTGATACTACACGGAATCGGTTTTTGGCTGCTGGAGACGACTTCTCCATCAAAATATGGGATATGGATAATATTAATCTTTTGACGACGATAGATGCCGACAGTGGTCTTCCGGTAAGTTCTTCAATAGATCGTTTTGCTATCAGCTAAATTCTTCCTTATTCTTTCTCCACAGCCAAGCCCTCGTTTACGGTTTAACAAAGAAGGAACATTGCTGGCTGTAACCACTCAAGACAACTCCATCAGAATTCTAGCTAACAACGACGGTTTACGGCTTTTGAATAGGGCGATTGAGAAAGTAAATGAGGTGAAGGTATGGCTTTCTGACATATTTCTTTACTGTGTTCTAACTTTTCTTTTTTCAGCCTGCGGTTAACACGCTTGCAGCAGTAAGTGGAGTAACTGCTCCAGTAGTCGCTGTAGATAGAGTTCCAGCTGCAG